AATCAGCTTTTATTATAAATACCTTAGTTTATCATATTTTACCCTAATTCTAACTTATATGTAGTCGCACCAGATACAAGAAATATTTACTACTGTCCATTGCCATGAATTTTTTTGATCTAGAAACACTTAAGAACAGATATCTGAGATGGATTGCAAGTGCAGAAATTAAAATAACTTATCCAAAGATGGATAAGTTATGGAGTGTTTTTTGGATATGCAAAATAAAGGTATACAATAAAATTTAGATTCCACCAAAGATCTGTTGTTGAAAACACTTTCTCCTATGATTTTGTTTATTTGTCGATAGATTTTAGGTACGCTACCAAATTTCTTCTCTAGAACATTAAGTGTTCATACGTTTAAAGTAAGGATGATTATTGATGTTGTGTGGTTTGCTATTAATTTGCAGAACTGTGCTGAATAAAGGCTATGCTTTTGTTAAATTCAGTAAGCCTAAAACAATAGTGGGAATTTATTGTAATATTATTTTTCTGATATTCTTTGTAAACAATGTTACTAAAAATAATAATTTATTTCCACCCCGGTTTTTCTCAAAATCGAGGGGATAATTTAGCGTTAAAATTGATGATATTTGTCACCGTCCATAATTAAATCTTTGTCATCCATTTCATGACTATCAATGCTCAAGACACTATCATTAGTGATCTGTGTGAAACCTAGGTTAACTTCCATTATAAAAGCATTATGAATATCAAAAATTGATTATAAAACGTCATGAAGCACTTGAAACTGTCATCCACTTTAAGATATGCAAGAGTCTTTGTTATGAAGTGTTCTCTATGATGGATTGCAAGAGCATAAAATTATTTGCGTTTAAGATTTGTTTACTTAAATATTTATTTATCTAACCCCTTTTCATTTAAGCCTTTATTTATCTAACCTTTTTTTTTGTTAATATCAGGAACAAATGCAGAGAAAAGCAATTGAGAATATATTATTTTCTAGCATTTGATCTTTCCAAGATATCAAGGATTTGAAGATACGTTTCTCATATCCCATTCAATGATTAAATCAGAAAATTTTGTAAGAAGAAAGAAAACCACCCATCCTCGTAACATAACCCCGACATTCTACCCTGGAGAACTATGAAGCACTTCTGTAGAAATAGACAAGCTAATGGTACAACCAAACCTTAATGCAATGCAACATAAGCTAAATAGAACCCTATACTTAAATGCATGTTATTATTTAGTGTGCATGATAACTAGTTGATGCTATGCACTAGAAGCACACAAGGAGAGGATTGAACGCAAGATTGAGTTGCTAACCTATTGTTCCTAAAAAGATAAAAATGCATGAATGGACGTGAAGAAGAATGCATGAAAACTGAAAATGGAAGAACAAAAACTAGCTAGAGGTGAGACCTTCTCTCACTAGAACATTAATGTAGAGTCTTCATGTTTCTTTATATAGATTGAAAAAGATATTTCTTCAAAGTAACTAAGTTTTAAGATTTTTTACAAGCTAGGACATCCAGAGGGACTCCTTAAATATCATTATTGTTTATTCATGCGATTGCTGCATTGTCCATTATTTATTTTACATTTCTCACCCCATTGTATATTTTGTAACCATAGACACATTATATATTTATATGTTGATATTTTTTATGGATATTTTCCCAATGCATTACTAGCTTCATCAGTTACCACCACTCTTTCCACCGTTGGGCATAGGAACAACGCTTCCACAACCATACCCCATTCCAATATCAGGATAGTGTCTTACAGGGGGATTACCATTGCAATCTTCTTTTTTTTTGTCGCCCTCTTTTACACCCCCACCTTCCTCTCCATCGCAATCACCATTTCCACCGCCACCATCTTTTTCACAGTTGAGAAAGAGAGGGTTATTAGCTTGTCCAATATTAATCCATGATTTCTCTATTTCACCAACTACAGAAAAAACCAAAACTTTTTATTAAATATATATAAAAAAAGTAAAATTAAATAAAAGAAATTATATATATACATTGTTTCTCATCTTTAGAAGGCTCAAATGCCACAATAGAAATAAGAAGTGCACAAAAGCACATGAAGATAAATGGCTTATTTTTCATCTTTGCACAATTAAGAATGTTTTTTAGAAAATGAATACAATCTTGAATCAGCTGCTACTTAAAATGCTCATGGGACAAGATAATGTTAGAAGAATAAAAATATCTTAATTAGATAATATATTTTGCAATACAAAGAAAAGATCATATATATTGTACAATAACAAATAAAATAATATTAATGTTTGGCTAAACTATTGTAAATATGATGGGTCATCAACACCTGTTCAGTCATTGAAGAGTTTAGGTAGATTAAGACTTATTTGTCAACTGATGTATGATTTTTTTCAGAGAATGACAACAACCAAGTGACTTATATGTTTGATAATTTGTTTAATCAAAATTGCAATTCTTAGTTTTTCTTTAGAAAGATACACTAGTGTAGAAATGATTTTTTACATCGGGTGAAACTGATTTTTTACATCGGGTCTGGGTCCGATGTAAAGTCAGACAATATAATAAATCATGTACTTTTACATCGGTTCTGGGTCCGATGTAAAAAGTCCCTTTTTTACATCGGTTGTGATCTAAGACTGATGTAAAAAACAATTATAACATTATTTTTAAAAAATTGACGCAACTTTTTACATCGGTTAAACGTGTGGACCGATGTAAAAAGTCTCTTTTTACATCGGTTGTGATCTAAGAATGATGTAAAAAATAATTATAACATTATTTTAAAAAAATTGACGCAATTTTTTACATGGGTTAAACGTGTGGACCGATTAAAAAGTCCCTTTTTTACATCGGTTATAATCTAAACCCGATGTAATATATACAGTTTTGAAAGTTTTTACATCAGTTGGGAGTAATAACCGATGTAAAATGTAAGAAATTTTTTTAAAATAAATTATTTATTTTCTGGATGTTTCCCTGTACAAAAATAATTTGTACCCATTTTTTCATATTAAAATATTAAATACATAAATAATTAAATAAACTGTTTAAGTTTCAAAATTAAAATATTAAATACATAAATAATTAAATAAATTTTACATGAGTCATGAGTAATGCTCATCAATTGATTTAACAAATTCTAACAAATTTTATTTTGTAACAACGTGTGAAGGACACATACATCCCGAAAAATATAAATATAGCCTGCCTCTTAAAAGTCTACCAATTGATATAATAATTATTCACAAATAAGTATGCCTCTGCACGGTTTTGTCAATATGGTGGAAACTTCATCTAAATTTGGCACAAAAATTTAAATAAATATAGTCTGCCTCTTTACAGCCTATCTATTGATATAATTATGCTAGATGCAATCTCCATTTTATAGGTACAAAAGCTAATGAATTTCAGAAAAGAAGATTATCAATAATAGCATCATGTGCAATATCTGCAGCAGAATCTCCTTTAGTACCATAAAATTTGGTGTAACGCCTGATAATCAAGTTTCATTAGTTTTGTATGGTCTTTAAACAAGAAACCTTCTTATTCACGTTTTCTACCACTAACTTGTTATAAACCCGTCCTCCAGGGAACATCACTTCAGGGCTGTCCCATGCCAATGAAAATGTCACATTGCGTTGAGCATCAGGTGGAATAGTCACAGTTGCTGCAATAGCTGCTCCAATGGATGATCCTGGTTCTGAAGGCACCGACGTTCCAGTAAAACATAAATGATTCTTAATCTAATTCTGATATATATATATATATATATATATATATATATATATATATATATATATATATATATATATATATATATATATATATATATATATATATATATATATATATATATTAGAATTAGAGTTTGATTTAATTTATTTTATAAAATCGACTTATAAAAAAAAATTCTATCAAATATAAAATTTATCCAATCCTATATCTATATCAACATGAGATTTGAATTTTTTTTCAATAGAGTCCAACCAAATAAGATAATTAATTAAATTAACTACAAATCAGAGAAGAACTCAGCAGAGAGAAAGTTAATTATGATCATGATGATGCCTCCGTTAAGAGCAATGAGATTAAACAACATCTCTACACAAGTTCCCAACTTAGCAAGTGGTGTAGCAATGAACATCAAGAACTTCTGTAGAACAACAGAGATAAATATAAGCCATCTACCTCTAAAACTTCCCTCAACATCTCCCTCAGCATTACTGTCCACAAATTTTCTATGTCCAATATTACGGGAAAATAAAACATGAATAATATCAAATAAATGAGCATCTTTTGGATTTAAAATCATATAACTATCTATAAATCCCTTGTCACAAGTTACAGCCATGGCTATTACTAGCTAATTAACAATTGCCAGTAATAGTACAAGTGTGAAGAGGAAAGGATGATGATAGTGCTTTTAGCCCATGTGCATTTATACTACTTTATTCAGCTGTCAAATGACCCATGTTGAAAATAAAATGAGTACCACCATTCAGTTTAGTGAAATACCTTCCCTGAACAACATATTTAGTCTCTACCTTATGCCTTTTTGGATACACATATTGTGTGATCTTCATTTAATCAGCTCAGCCATCCCTATCTTAAACTGTCCATCGGTGGAGATTAAACCATGAACTGGAAGTAATATTAAAACAAACTTCTGTTTCTTGACAGTATTTAGGTCTCCAACCTATCCACCCTTGGAAAGCCAGTTAACTTAAAGTGCTAAGTTTCTACAAACATAATCTGCTAGTAAATGATGTTTCAGTCACATTGACACTGGGCTAGAGATTACATAAAGTGGATTGCGGCGAATGAGTTCCTTAAGTTACCTCATCTTTTGATTAGCAAATATGATTCCAACATAAGTATCAGCATATGTAAATCCATAGTTGCAGTGACCAATACTATTACTACCAATGAACATGTGGCGTGGTATGTAAAATTAATAAATACAGTCCAAGAGGTAAGATTCTTTAATCTTAAAATATGATGAAAGAGTGGTGTTCAAAGAGAGTCAGGTATTGATCATTGTCATGATAACTGATAAGAAGAAATCAGGCACGCAACAAAAGGAAAATGAAATAAAGGAAACTTCAAGTACTTGTGTTATAAAATGCTTGGAGCATAGTGATAGCTTATATGGGGCAACACAGCCTGAATAAAGAATGAATAACTTGATGGTAATAACACCGAACATAGACATTTCAAAAAAACAAAGATCAATAAAATCTGAAAGCAGGTCCATAACCTGTTTAACTTCATGCCACATGTCCTTCGCGGAGATGCCTTTGTGAGAATCGAATATAACAAAGACAGGGCATTTTGAGATATGAACATATTCAGTCTCTTCTGCTGCAATTGCAAATGTGAGCAGAGATTGCTCACTTGCAGTCCTGTAGATGCATGTATCAGTTAATTTTTCATCCATTGCCTAAAAGTGTATTAAAAAGTTAGAGAGTTACTTGTGATGTAGAAGCACACCATGCACGCCATCAGGCCTCCTAGCACGAGGTAATATGTATCTTGAATGTTAGAATGAAGTAAAGGCAAGGTGTGGGGATGGGGAAAGCAATAAAATGGGAACATCTTCATGTAGATTGTAAACCAACAGACAATTTTCTTACTTTATCTTTGAGTTGAAGTGATGACCAGTAAATTCAGATTACCCTCCAACGGAATTCTGAATGTACACAACAAATTGGTTGCACTCAATACCTCAAGAAACATACTGTAACAGTAAAGAGCTAGCAAAAAAACATTTCACTTACAGCCCATGTGAAAAGCAAGGTGAAATCTTTTGAGGCAGTATTTATTATTTGAATAAACTTTCAATCGGCTTTAAAAAATTAAATCTCTGAGAACCAACTAATATAAGCTTTCTAAACTGATATGGATATGAAGATTAAACAAAGGAATCATTATGCTGGGAAGTGGTATTCGAAAAATACAAAACACATTAATAAAAAAGAGAGAAAACCAAAAGCTTACCCCAGAATTTTGCATTTTCCTTAAGGATTCTCCACTTGTATCAACAAAAATCATCACACCTGATATATGCCCTGGACAAGAATCTTCCATCAGATTATCAGAATTCTTCTATTTAAATCAGCAGCTAAATACTCGATAGTTATTTATAGATACAATACAGACTAATGATTCAAGTATCAATAATTTAAGGAGTTCTTCAAAGCCATTGTCATTAAGGGGAAAAATTGTAGTTGGAGAAAATCTACAATCACACACATTTTAACTTCATAAACGTAACCAAAAAAAAAGTTATGAGTAAATTACCACAGCTTGCTTATCTCAAATTTCTAGTTTAATGACTATATTATGTACACGTTGAAGTGGTGGGGTTTATTAGATAAATAGACCATAGAAATAATAATGATTAAAATAATTGTTCTTCAGTAGTAACAACAGTGACACTTCAAACTCTAGTTTAGCAGCATAGTCAAATAATTGCTACTTATTAGTTGATACATTCATCACAAACCTAACAACACATTCATCATGTACGAGAAAAGATACCTCGAAGAGAAAAAAGAACAAAATGTCATAAACAAATAGCATAAATGAAGAGAGACAAACATGACTTTTGTTACCATAATAACTAGTCCCTCATCATTAACAATTATCAAACCCATGCTCCATCATCAATATAACAAGCCACACAGAACAAATGTAGAAACAAGAAAAACCAAACATGTAAAGACATCTTTAATACACATACGGGTTAAAAGATGTCTTTGTATGATTCATCGGTATATCATATAGGTGATAATAATTCTTGATCATTCCAAAACCAGCTGAGAAACTCAGTAGAATACATATGCTTAATTTTATAGACATAATAACTCAAAAAGCTAAGTTTATCTTAAAGTCCAGTTCAGATAATAGCTAAAACTTGCTTCCAGAAATTAAAGGGGTGTCATTGTTCATAACATTCAGTTTCAATGAAAAAAGAAAAAAAGCCAAGGACTCGTAATTTGGTTGCTATTGCTAGTAATAGACAAAGCAAGTTTCTAAGTCCTAACCACATGACTTCACATCACAATAACTCAACAATTGCAATAAAATTTAATTGTTTTAAACACAAACTAACAATGGATGTGTTAGTAAAAGGCCTCTTATCACTAGGACTTGTGTCAGAAAGAAGCATATAAATCAAGTTAATGCTGCAACAGAAATTATGTTTTACTAGTAGGCAAATTATTTTATTATTGTTAAATGTTGAATTTGCAGTAACTGCTGTCTAACATCTGCAGGAAGTCAAAAACTGCTGAAAAAAGTTAATAGTTATAAATATAGGCTGAAAGGAAAAGGGAGGGGATTGGGTATTTTGTATGTTGGCTGGGTTGGGCGACAATAGGCTCTCTAATTCCTAGGGGTTGTTTGTGACAGTTAGAGTACTGTCTTGTATTGTATGTAACTCTTAAAGAGTAGCATTTCCCGGTGTTTATTCATATCAGAACCAGTTTCTAACACTGACATTTTTCATATCAAAACCAGTCTTAACAGGATAGACGCGGGGAGCGGCCAACCTCAAATACACTAAAGTAGAATAGTAGATATAGGGATAATCTCGTTTCTAACTGATTTGGAAACAAAGCTTCAAACTATATTTCCAATTTCGGAGTTGCATCAGAAATACACCAGAATATCAGATGCTAATGCAATGTTTTTCTATAATTTTTTGTTTTGTTTATTCCTCTAAGTAAATTAACAAAGCATACAGGATAGCTACTCTCCTTGTAGTTATGGGGTATAACAGGTGAAATCTGGCGACAAACTATTTTCAATGCTGGATCAGGTTTTGCATGTGAACAATAGAGATGATCAAGGTAAGAGATGCAATGCAGTATAATTTATAAATACGGTAATGGAGTTGGAAGTGTGTGAATTAGCGTAGCTCACCCTCATATACTGTCCAAGCTCTTGGGTATAATGCGGGAAACGTCTCCGTCTTCGTGCAGCCGGCGGCGGATCTGCGAGGAGACGGAGGATCTGTGAGGAGTGACGTAGGCGAGACGGGCGGAACGGTGTAGGCGAGACGGGCGGAGTAGCGGCAAGGGTGCGTTCGTGGGACAGAGAAGTTGAACAGTAACGAAATAATTCGCATTTAGGGGTTATTTCAACATTATATATATTACTTTTTACATCGGTGCAAGCATTGGTGGATTGTAGGAACCGATGTAATATCTAGCCAGTTTTTTATTTACAATTCTGTCACCTGGTTTGTTATTTACAAAACTGCCACCGTGTTTTTTTCACGAAACCTTTTACATCGGTGGATTAAATGACCCGATGTAATAGATAGCGAAAAATATTTTTTTTCATATTATTTATATCATTGCAAATAAATACTTGATGTAAAATGTTTTTAATTTTATTTTTTACATCGTATATTTTTATACTTGATGTAAAAACTTTTTCTCAAATGTCATTTTTTTAGTAGTGATAATAATCATGGTAAATATTGTTGACTGCAAAATAAAATTTCTTTTTTAAAAACAAATATAATATATAAATAAAGAGGCATAAAGTGTAATGATACAAATGACGAGGTTGGTAGAGACATGAGAAGTACTAAAACACCCCTAACAAATCAGAAAATAGAATGAAAAAACAACAACACAACCATCAGAAATTTGAAAGCCTTGGATATCTTATTGATTATTTACCTTGATTTCAACCGCTTTGATCTTTTGAATCTTGGATTGAGGTTTAACTACGTTATATTGTTTTTGACACCCTTTTCATTCAGATTGCACCCATTTCTTTGGAAATGCAAAAATTTAAATATTTTCTTAATAATAAAAATTTTAAATGGTTTAACAAATATAAAATCACTTATTTAGAGGATTAATCAGAGTTTTTTTATTTATTTTGAAACCTCTAAAAAGTGTATCATCTTAAAGTTTCAAGTAGACTTGAGAAGACTTTCGATTTCGAGTGAATGACGAAACAATATCATAAATCCTTCTCTGCGAATCAATTGATATGAGAGTTGATTTAAACAACGAGACACATAAACCCATTACAGTACCTTCTCAACAAAAGTGCATTTTGATTTAGTACGTTGAAATACACCATCAACAAATATACTTGGATCAAAAGCATTAGTATCATCAAATATCACCATGTATACTCAAAGATATCAAGGATATTCCATCTTACTTTGTATAAATTCATTTAATATGAACTAAGGCTCCATTAAAGCTACAAATCATTTCTTCAAAACAAATAAGGTTTTCACTTTTGATACCCGAATTTTTGTTGGATATTATTGCGTTAGTAGCTCTAAGAGGTCTACGGTTACTACCTTTTGACCTTCTCAGTGTATCATAACAAAAAGGCTCTAGGTGGACAAATACATTATAAAACGAGCACTTATAAATATGGCGATCTAATGTCTTCTTATTTATGCTTTTACTATGTGAACAACCCGTTTTAAAAACTAACCTAGTTTATTTAAGGAAGTCCTTTGATTTGAAAGAATCAAATCTAGATTTTTTTTCCCTTTAGTAAATTTACTTAGGGTTTCATGAAGATATTTCACTTTATTTTTCATCAGACACAAGTCTTAGATTCAATACTTTGATTTATAACATTAGCTATTTCATATAGCATTTAATTTCTATTTTCTACAAATTCAATGCAGTCTTTAAGATCTAGGTTACGCTATTCAAACTTATCATGTTTCTTGATTAAATTAAAATTTAATTTAAATAGTTTCTTGTATGATAAAGTAGTTATCTCACAATCATTTTATTCGTGAGAAGCTTACAAGAAACTTGTTCATATTCTTTATTGGATGAAAGATCTTCAAACACTACTAAAAAAAAGACATTTGAGAAAAGGTTTTTACATCGGGTATCAAAATATATGATGTAAAAAATACAATTAACAAACTTTTTACATCAGGTATTTATTTGCAATGATATAAAAAATAAGAAAAAATATATATTTCGCTACCTATTACATCGGGCAAACGCATCCACCGATGTAAAAAGTTTTCAGAAAAAAATACGGTGGCATTTTTATAAATAAGAAACAAGATAGTAGAAATATTAATAAAAAACATGCAACATATTACATCGGTTAACTAAAAACCGATGTAATATCTTCACAACAGATATTAATATAAAAAATAAATTAAAGAATAAATTAATATCTTCACAACATATTACATCGGTGGAAGTTTAAACCGATGTAAAAAAGTCAGAAAAAAAAGCTTGCATCGGGTATTAGTATCCACCGATGTAATAGGTTCAAAACCCTTACATCGGTTATTAGGATACACCGATGTAATAGCTTCTCCACTAAGCCAACCCTTACATCGGGTATTCATTTCCACCGAGGTAATAGCTTCCAAACCCTTATTTCCCAAATTCAAAATATTTCAATATTTCCACTGTACAATATTCCGTAGTCGCTGTTTCACTCCTTTCCACTGTACGCATACGACCCTTACGACCGCTGTTTCACAAACGTTACCACCGCCGTTTCCCAGCCACCATCATCGACGTTTCCATTCACGAAGGTTCTTCGACCGCCGTTTCCGGTCGTCGTCTTCAATCGCGGTGGTTTCCGTTCATGTTTCCGCTGTTTCTGGTCGTCGTCTTCGACCGCGGTGGTTCTGTTCGTTCGTGTTTCATCGTTTTCGACCGCCATTGATGATGATTTTTGTTGTGAATTTGCAGATTTGTTTGATGAACATAGATGATGTGGTTTGTTGAAATTTGATTACGTCTCCTTGTCGCCGTTTCACGTCGTTCACTCCGTTCACGCTGTTCACGACTTTTCACCGGCCAATTCACGCCCTTCCTCGCTCGCCGTTTCAACTGTAAGTCACATTCTTCACTTATTTGATCCATAATGTTATTGATTCAATGTTTGTTCTCTTGATTTAAGTCAATACCTTATGTTAACACTAGGTATAAATTCATTACAAACGCTTTAACTTGAACAATTTTCTTTGAGAAACTTTATTTGTTGAGTTAAAAAAGCAACAATATCTTTAAGAGAAGATAAGGTGTTATGCATTGTGAAACCATAATCGAAAATATTGAAAAACATACCTAGAGAATAGAGAAATCTTGTTCTTAGGGAAGATTAACATGCTAGAGGAGATAATGCTACAGTACATTATGTACAAATTTTTTGTTTGAATTCATTTTAACTTATAATATTTTTAACGAGATAAGTTTTGTCACGTGATATTTAAATTGATTTTATCAAAACAATTTATAATATTTTTTGAAATTCTTCAAAATTATTTATAAAAACAATTTATAATCTATATATATATATATATATATATATATATATATATATATATATATATATATATATATATATATATATATATATATATATATATATATATATATATATATATATATATAATACATGATTCATTGACATCAGGTGTTAGAATAGATATCTCAGAAAAAGTTTCCGCAATTGGTTTTATATATATATATATATATATATATATATATATATATATATATATATATATATATATATATATATATATATATATATATATATATATATATATATATATATATATATATATTTTGTTGATAATGTAGATATAATACTGTATAGATAGAGATAGATAAGGAATGGCTTGATGAATTTGTGACTACTAGCTAGCCACCATTATTGTCACGTTCTTTTTTATGTCTCTTAAAAATGCAATTAATATAGTGTCAATAACACCAACCAACAACCAACCATAGAAAATTAGCAACTGAATCTTGAAATCTTAATAGAGTTATCACCTTGCCATTGAAATTTGATTATATTTTTCTTTCTCCGCGAAGCAGCGCAACTTGCAATCTCGGAATCTCCGTGAAGTAGCGCATTCGCGGGCACACTGTTCGTCAGACCTTCCTCCGTGTGAACATAGTTATGGATGTTAGTTGGATGAGAGCTAATCGATTAAGTGATGAGTACGAACATGGAGTGATGGAATTTCTACAGTTTTCTAAAAGTAATGCTGACAAAAGTCTTCCTACGCTTTTTCTCTGTCCATGTGTTCGTTGTGCAAATAAAGAACCAAAACGTAGTAAGAAAGAAATCATGGATCATCTAATTTGTGTAGGGATTTATCAAAGTTATACAAAATGGATATGGCACGGTGAAGTAGTAGCAAAGTCAAACGTGTCTCAAAGAGATGATGTTAGTGTAGAAATGGATGATCGTCTAGAAGACATGTTGCGTGATATTGGACAACATTTGTTTAAGAGGGCACATGCGTATGATACTATATGCAATGACAAAGATAAACCATTGTACACGGGATGCAAAAAATTTACACGTCTGTCAGTCGTGTTAAAATTATTTAATCTGAAGGCAAAGAATGGGTGGACTGACAAAAGTTTTATCGAGTTGCTTGAATTGTTGACCGAAATGCTTCCAGAAGGTAATGTAATGCCAAGTCGTTATTACGAGGCGAAGAAAATATTGTGTCCGATAGGTTTGGAGTATGAAAAGATACATGCATGCCCTAATGATTGCATATTATACAAAAAAGAGTATGAAAAGTATAATCATTGTCCAAAATGCAAGGCTTCACGCTACAAAAAGAAAGATGGTGAATCAATTGATGATGAGGTGTTCAAAAAGGGTCCTCCTGCGAAAGTGGTATGGTACCTACCAATAATTTCAAGGTTCAAGAGATTATTCGCCAATGCAGATGACGCAAAGAATCTTAGATGGCATGTAGAAGAAAGAAAATATGATGGACAAATTCGTCATGTAGCCGATTCTTTGCAATGGAAGAAAATAGATTCTTTGTTTCCAAATTTTGGCAAAGAGTCGAGAAACCTTAGACTTGGACTTGCTACTGATGGAATGAATCCGTTTGGTAATCTGAGTACTAACCATAGTTCTTGGCCTGTTCTCTTGATGATTTATAACCTATCTCCTAGGCTGTGCATGAAGCGTAAATATATCATATTATCGATGATGATATCGGGCCCAAAACAACCAGGAAATGACATAGATGTTTATCTAAGTCCACTGATTGATGATTTAAGAGTGATGTGGGAGGAAGGGGTGGATGTTTTTGATGCGTATTCTGGCGAACAGTTCAATATGCGTGCCATGTTGTTTTGCACCATCAACGATTTTCCAGCATATGGTAATTTGTCTGGGTATAAAGTTAAAGGGCATAATGCATGTCCTATATGTGAAAAATACACTTGTTACCATCAGCTTGAAAAAGGAAAGAAGACCGTTTATCTCGGGCATCGAAAATTTCTAAAATGTTATCATCCATATCATAGATTGCGGAAAGCTTTCAATGGGGAACAAGAGCATGGTGTTGCTCCAAAGCCCTTGTCTGGAGAGGAAGTTTATCAGCGACAAAAGGGATTTGATGTTGTCTTTGGAAAGTACCAAAAACGATCTACTGTGAAAATGTATGGAAAAAGAGATCGATTTTCTTCGATATTCCATATTGGTCTAGTCTTGATGTAAGACATTGTATTAATGTGATGCACGTGGAGAAAAATGTATGCGATAGTGTAATCAGAACACTTCTCAACATTCAAGGAAAGACAAAAAATGGTATTAATGCTCGTCTGGATTTGGGTTTGATGGGTATACGAGAAGAGTTAACTCCATAATATATAGGTAACAAGACATATTTGCCTCATTCCTGCTACACTTTGTCTAAAAAAGAGAAAACAAGTTTTTGTGAGTGTTTACAAAGTATCAAAGTGTCGCATGGTTACTCATCAAATGTCAAGAGGCTTGTATTAGTTAAAGATTTTAAATTAGTTGGCTTGAAATCTCACGACTGTCATGTCTTAATGCAACAACTACTACCATTGGCTATTCGTGGGATATTGCCTAACAACGTAAGGAAGACTATAACTAGGTTGTGCTTATTTTTCAATGCAATTTTTTGTAAAACCATTGATCCACTAAAGTTAGACGATTTGGAAAATGAGGCTGCAGTTATCTTGTCCCAATTAGAGATGTATTTTCCTCCTTCATTTTTTGACATTATGGTTCACTTGATTGTTCATCTAGTAAGGGAGATTAGATTATGTGGTCCAGTTTTTTTACGGTGGATGTATCCAATAGAGCGATACATGAAGATTCTAAAAGGGTATACAAAAAACCCACACCGTCCAGAAGCATCGATTATTGAGAGGTACATTGCAGAAGAAGCAATTGAGTTTTGTTCTAACTATTTGTCAGGAGTGGATGTTGTAGGGGTTCCCAAGTCTCATCATGATGGAAGATACAAGGGTGTGGGTACACAAGGTTTAAACGTCAAGAGCTTAAGTATTGATGTGGTTGTTCAAGCGCATTTGTATATATTGAATAACATAGATGAAGTTCAACCTTACTTATCTGCTCACAAAAGCATCATAAAGAAAAAGTACCCCAAGATGAATGAAAGAGGGTTGTTAAAAGAGCATAATAAGAGTTTCTCTGAGTGGTTTAAAGAAAGAATTGCTAATGAAGATAGTGTTTCTAATACAATTAAGTGGTTGTCTTACGGGCCTAAATGTAACATAATAACTTGGAGTGGATATGATATTAATAAAACCTCTTTTTATACAAAGTCAAAGGATGACCGTAGTACCACGCAAAATAGCGGGGTAAGGATTGTGGCCGAGTCCATGCACTTCTCTAGTGTTAAAGATAAAAACCCGGTTATGGCATCTACACCGTACTTTGGGGTGATTGAAGAGATTTGGGAAGTTAATTATGTTGTGTTTAAAGTTCCTGTATTTAAATGCAAATGGATTGATATCAACAGTGGTGTCAGAATCGATGAATTTGGAGTTACACTGGTTGATCTTAGCAAGTTAGCTTATGCAAACGAACCATTCATCATGGCATCTCAAGCAAAACAAGTGTTTTATGTCACAGATCCTTCTAATAAAAAGTGGTCAGTGGTTTTACAAGGAAAGGTCCATGATAGTGATGAAAATCATGATGAGAATCTTGATATTTCTGAAACTCATCCTTTCTCAACAAATGTGACTACATTCATTGAAGAAAATGAAGGGGATGATGTGCATGCTATTCGCATAGACCATGAAGAAGGGATATGGGAGGACTAGTAAGATTTTTTGTATAAGTTAATTCCACGTTACTTTATTTTCTAATTGTTTTTATTTTGTGCTTAATTTTATTTATAATTGTTTTTATTTTGTGCTTAATTTTATTTCTAATTGTTTTTATTTTGTGCTTAATATTATTTCTAATTATTTTTGTTTTGTGTAAACAGATACATGGGTGATTCAAACCCCAATAAAAGAAGAGTTAGAGGTCCCACTTTAATGACACAAATTGACAAAGTTCATCAAACAGGTGAAAAGATAAAGGTCGAGTTTAATGCAAGAACCTATGAATGTATTGGTGTTGGTAAAAATGCTACACATTTCAAGAGTTATATAACATCTCTTGCTCGACAGTATTGTAGTATTGTGAAAAATGATTAGAAAGAAGTAGATAAAGGCGTAAAAGATGCTATTTGGACTGATATTCAGGTATTTTAAATACAATAGTTTATTATATTTTATAATCATATACTAATTAACAACATATGACATATACTATATTTGTAGGCTCATTTTACTATTCCAGAATGTAAAGATCCAAAGAAGGATAGGTTGAAGAAAGAATGGATTAAATAT